ACTTTAACAAAAACGATTAAAAACAATCATTTAGAAAACTTTACATTCAAACATGTAGATCACTACATAATGTCTTTTTTTCTTTTTATCTTGAAGCAGGTTTTTTGTGTTGTGTCTGTTTTTATCATCATCAGGATATGCCAATTGCAGAGTTCTGCACAACTCTTTATCTTTTAGTCATTATGATTATCCATCACCCCTTTCGCTTGGAAGAAATTTTGTTTATATCTGGCACATTGTGATTTCATTTGCAACTTTGAAAAGATGAAATCAACAAATAAATATAATGCTTTTATCCTTATCATTACCATGTGCTGATTCACAGACCCTCAATTATCCATCGCACATGGTAGGTCTTCAGGCAGGTATCCGTGTCTTCAAATATTTGCTTAGATTTTGAATGTGTGACCAATGCTAGTGCATCTGTGTTTTGATGACTACATCAATGTCACTGACAAGCTCACTCTTACTTCTCCAGGAATGTATCACAATTACTATTTAATCTACAGCTGGATGAGAGAATATTTGCATGTAAGTGAATATAACACACTTGACTGGAATTTGAACTCGGCTCCCCAATTTCTTATTCTTAGCCATTACATATACAGAGAACAGAATTCTATTCGATGGGATTCAAAATGAATTCTTTATTACAAATTGCTGGAACCTAGTCAGAATGTTAGTGCACGATTTTACAGAGCAATTGGTTTGTTTGAATGACAAATAGAACTGCATCTTGCAAAATTTGTCTACAGATAACCTGAAGGTAACAGATACACTATTACCCATTTTATTCCATGCAACTCTCCTTGACTGGTTAGCAGTTCCAACAAATTCAAAATATGAAAAAAAATACCTTAAAGAATTCATTAGATTTTAGCCAAGATGTGGCATGAAGTCTTCAAAAGCCCAGAAATATGATGTTTTCATCATCATCATCATCACCAGGTGCTGATTGCACAGACCCTCACATCTGTATAGTCTTTACAACTATCCATTGCAACAGGTATGTTTTCAGGTTGATAGCCTGAAGTGTTGTCATATAGGATTTTAATGTGCAACCAATGCTAGTGTGTTTTGGCTTCAAAAGAGGATGACACTGATAAGTTCATTGTTACTTCTCAAGAAATGGCCCACAAATCTTTGTCTTCTCTCCTGAATGACTCAGAAGATGGGAAGTAGATAGCACTGCTTTTTTGTAGGGTGCCGTTTCCAGGATAGATTCAATGTAACATGTAGATGGGCCACCTAGTAATTTTTCCTATCATTTTGTCTTGGGTATGACGATAAATTACATCCGGTAACAAGGCCTCTGATTAAGAAATTGGAAGTTTTGAGGAGCGTTAAACCACTTCTTAATTGCTGTTATTTCTATGTCTACCCTGATCTGAGGTGGTAGCACCTGTTAGGGCCTCAGCTATGGGCAAATAGTGAACCCCCAAACAAAAAAAATCAACAGCTCATTTTATGGCAAAATGACAATCAATACAGTACTAAAAAGTGTAGTGAAGTTACCAACAATATATATATTTTAAATTGCCAACAATACATTTTATTATCTACAAACTATATATCTAAAAAAAAAAAAAAAAAAAAAAACTTTTATACATTCAGGGTAAAAAAAAAAATGAAATATCTATAATTGAAGGCATAAAATAACGTACAAAATATTTAGATTTCAACATTAAGTAACCCATAGAGGTTGATAAGCCACTAAACAAAATCAACTAACCAACTATTGTTTTGTCAGTGTCCATGTCACACTACCATAGAGCAAGATAGATAGGGCTCTGACTTGGAAGAAATCTGGTTTCATTTTATTTAGTAAAGAAATTTTTAAAACTGTTAACAGCTTGTCCATTGCAGCCCAAGATTTGCCAAAGGGGATGTTCATATGGTCAATCATCCATCTTGTTTGAAAAAAAAAAAAAAATGATAGGTTATCTATACATAAATATTTCTGCTGTTTTCAATGGTTTCTTTTGTTCGTGTTACACAAAGTCTTACATATTTTATTGTCAACACATATCCTTGATATGGTCAAATCAATTATCTTCAAAATGTTAAGCCCAAGTATCAATAAAGTCCTTGTGTTAGGGTGTTTGGTAAGTAATTACTTATTTCACTGCTAGGAATTATGAGTCAACCAACCAAGGCAGAACCAAGGTTGAATTGCCTGAAACTGTGTCTAGAATCTCTTCTAGAAAACAGTGTGTCCACTGTTTACATTCGTCGAACTATTGTCCTCATCTTTGTTGCCATATTTATCACAACGTTTCAGCCGTTGTACACTCTGGCCTTTTTCAGGTGATTGGAATGTCTGGAGTAGACAGTTCTAGTTTCACATGCCATATCTAATGGATGTCACTTATCAGTTATTTCCTGTTAATTCTCCTCTCCAAGTTCTCCACTGCCTTAACCAGGTATTGAACTCACACTCTATGAGTCCTGTCGCGGATCTAAGACCTTTATCCACTGTGCCATATGTCCTTAAGGACATTTGTGTATGAATTTCTGGGTATTATAAACCTAATGTCTTCAGTAACCATTTTTTCCAGTGTAATTGTAATTTTTGATGTTTTCATTGCATGTTTTTTACTAGAGATCATATTGCAATTTTTGTTATTACCGCTTTTCTCTGGCACTCCTTATTACTGGTTGCCATATTGTATTCATTTCAAACACCTGAAGAAGGCCAGAGCATACAACGGCAGAAATGTGATAACCATAGCAACAAAGATGAGGACAATAGTCTGAAGAATGAAAATAGTGTACATAATACCTCATCTCAGAAATATAAATAGATGCCAAACAGTGCATCATTTATAATGCATTTTATAGATGGTTAAACATGTAAAAACATGTAAAAGCAACATGTTTACAGTTGCTTACTGCATGAAATCTGGATGGGTAATACTGTTATAGAGGCATTTAAAAACATTTATGCCATGTATAAAAATGCAGTGAAGACTTGTTCATGTCAGGTGTGGTTTAAAAATAGTGATTGTGATAAATCCAATAAGCCTTGCTATGGAAGAGAGCGAATTCTGAATAAAAAAGTTTTTGAGAGATCCATGTCAAAACACCATAGATTTGCACAAAATCTTACAAAGAGGAAATTTGTGTTCTTCAGAGACTTTTACTTGAGAATTGAACACATCATTCCACCATCTGCAGCAGACTTTTAACCAGAATACTAAACATATAATTTTTACAGGTGATGAGAAATAGGTTTTGCGTGTCGGCAGAAAAGAAAAATTTAAATTTGATCCATATCAAAACACCAGAGATTTGCACAAAATGTTACAAAGAAGAAATTTGTGTCCCTTGGGGGCTTTTGCTTGAAAATTGAACACATCACTCCACAATCTGCAGCAGACTTTTCATCAGAATATCAACCTTTCATTTTTACATCACATTTTTTATAGGTGATGAAAAATGGGTTTTGCATGTCAACAGAAAAAAAATACAGTGGTTATCACAAAATGAGAAACCAGTGTCAACAGTAAAACCAGATGTCTATCCACAGAAATCCTTGCTTTGTGTCTGATAGAATGTGAAAGATGGGATCCATTATGAGCTAGTGGAACATGAAAGGACCATCACTGCAGGCATTTATAGCCAGTAACTTGATCAATTACATTAATAAAAAAGAAAAGGTGTTATTCTCCAGTGTGGCAATGCAAGGGAACTCTCTGCTAAACAAACCCAAGAAAGAATAAGATCATTAGGAGTGTTGCTTTTTCCACAACCTACATATGAACCAGATTTTGCACTTACGGATTTTCATTTGTTTTGATCACTAGAACATTTCATATGTGGCAGAACATTCAAAAACAAAGAAGTTGAAAACAGTCTGTTATCTATGCTGACACTTATGGTCCTATCTAGGATTGAAACTCACCATTCTTGGCTAACATATTTCCTCAGGTTAATGGATATTTTCTAAACAATGGCAGTAGCTTGTCTCCCATCCTGCCAAAAGGGATTTAACATTTAGGCATTATTTAAGTTTACTGAAATTTCACCTCAATGAACATTTTTCTATTGTTTGAAGTTCTGTTCAAGATCCTGTTTTAACATAGGTTTTTAAACTTTTTTCAGGATCAAACCCAGATTTCTTTAAATACTGAATTAAACATCTGTCTTCCTGTCAGACTGTATTCATTAAAAGTAAATTTTATATCCTTTCTGGTAAAACATAATTACTTTCTGGACACCCTAATATTCAAATAATTAAATAACAGGCATGATTTGATTTGAAAGCATGTTTTTATTTTTATTTTTATTCTTTTTTATTTTTACACAGTTGCTGTGAATAAATCATATGGACATTATTGTATCTTCTCCCAATGATCCCAATACACATTTATGTGCATAAAAACGTAAACTTCAACCAGATTATCCCAAAAGAAGAAATAAAAAGGAACTGATAACGATACTGAAAATGCTTCCACTTGGAAAGTCGGTAACTGGTCACTTGGGTGTCAGATTATAATAAAGGCCCAAAACTTTTAAGTGACAGGACTGGCTACACCCAGGCTACACATAAGCAGGTCAACCACACCAATAGGCACTCTAAGAACCGGATTAAAGGTTTGCAAAGACTTAGCCAGAAAAACTTGGTCCACTGTGGCTTTTGTAATCAAGAAGAAACTAAAATTCATCCTGTCATCAAGGATGGAAGATTTTTTTTTCTTTGTTCAAAAAGAAATATTAATTAAGCAGAAGTTAACAAAAGCAGGATTTTGTTGAATTGCAGAAGTACCAACTTTGCAATTCAAAATACCAATATTCTAATTTAAGATATGAATATTGCAAACCAACAAGCTTCATATATATATATATATATATATATATATATATATATATATATATATATATATATATGTGTGTGTGTGTTTGTGTTTGAATTTTCTATGTTCTGTGGAGTCTTGACTGGAAGTGTAGCTGAGTGGATAGCCAATCAGGTGTCCAACTAAATTGGAGGGTATTAGTAGTTAGGTAGAAGCCAGTTTCTCAGCCATGAAGTGCCCCCACTTCTGGTCTCCATATTTACAGCGCTGAACCTTTTCTTCCCATCCTGAAATAATGGCGTTGTAATCATCAACACTGAATTGCTGTAGAAAGAAAGAAAAAGAAAAAAAAAAGTTAAAATTTAAAAATATAAAAATACACACCATTTCAATAACAGAAAACAAAAAAAAAATTTAAAACTCTGTAAACAAGACAAATGTTTGCATTTTTGTTTCCATTTTTAAAAAGAAAAAAAAAACAAAAATTACATAAATTCAGAACTCACAAGACATACTGAAGCCAAAGGAAAAAAACAATAACCTACCAATTGAACTTGTATAAATGAATGGCACAACAAGGATTAGGAGGGGTGGTAGGATATAAACCTAAGAGCTATGAAGGATAGGAAGTTGTAGAGAGCCATGATCACCCATGTTCTGACCAGAGAACAAAGCGTAGTTTTATTTGCTAAGTTTTTAGAAGTTGTCTTGAAGAATTTTGGATTCTGTCAGTCAATAAAGTCTTCTTGCATGTGTCATGTCCCTTCAGACAAGGGGTGAACATGGCTCTCCACACCTTCCTATCTGTTGTAGTGCTTAGTAAGGCTGGCCTTTTCACCATCACTTCCACTCTCCATGCCTGCTTGTTGGATAATTTATGTGCTGTTTCCAAATTGCATTCAGTATGTCCTGTGAAGCTTATACTCTCCAAGCCTTCTTTCCTCCTATATCAAAGAAATTTCAACTCTCCTTTTTATCCTAAGCGTTCTTTTTGTTTCCATTTTCCTTAAAACTTCCTCACTTCCAACATGTTCCCTCCATGATATACTCAGCATCCTTCTGTAGAACCATATTTCTGCTGCTTCAAGTTTTTTCTTCATCAGTGAGAAGATTGTCCAGCATTCACTGCCATATAGGAGGACCAATATTACATAACTCTTTAGCAATCTTTTCTTTGTTTCTAATAAAAATTTCTTGTTTCTTAATACTGTACTTAGCTTTTAGAAAGCATCTTCCACTATTCCAATGCTCCTTCAGATTTCAGTGCCACATGTACTACAAAGTTACATTTTCATAAACTTCTCAAAAACTCTGACTAAAATAAGTACTTAGGACAGTCTATCCCCAATTTTAGAAACTCTTTTTCATAGTCTGGTGAGCAGCAACTAGTACAGGTGTACTGATATTTACTAGCTGTAGTACAAGTTTCCGGGCCAAAGATATATACTAGAGTTCTAATTGAAGCAGTGCTGACCGATAATAATTGAGATAATGAGCATTGACCCTTATTTGCTTTATTGTAATTAAATCAATTAAAATCTTCATTAAAATCCGTTGGTGTCAAGAGCATACAAAATAATGACAAAGCTTGAAGAAAATAAAAACTGGATGCATTTAACCCCGTCATGAAGCTGAAAATAAACAAATTAATTAAGTAAAAAAAGGTCAAATGAAAAGATTCATTGCAGCATAATGGTTAGTAAAATGGTCTTGTAGTTTATTGCTAATGAAAAGTGAGTTTGATCCACACTGAGAGTTCCATGCTTCTATTTATTTTTTTTAGGAAACCATAAATAATACCAGATTTTAATTTTATTAATTTATACTGGATTTTAATTTTAATAATTAATACTGAATTTTATTAATTTATACTGGATTTTAATTTTAATAATTAATACTGAATTTTATTAATTTATACTGGATTTTAATTTTAATAATTAATACTGAATTTTATTAATTTATACTGGATTTTAATTTTAATTTTAATACTAATTTTATTAATTTATACTGAATTTTAATTTTAATTTATACTGAATTTTATTAATTTATACTGATTTTAATTTTAATAATTAATACTGAATTTTATTAATTTATACTGGATTTTAATTTTAATAATTAATACTGAATTTTATTAATTTATACTGGATTTTAATTTTAATAATTAATACTGAATTTTAATAATTAATACTGGATTTTAATTTTAATAATTAATACTGAATTTTAATAATTAATACTGGATTTTAATTTTAATAATTAATACTGAATTTTAATAATTAATACTGAATTTTAATAATTAATACTGGATTTTAATTTTAATAATTAATACTGAATTTTAATAATTAATACTGGATTTTAATTTTAATAATTAATACTGAATTTTAATTTTTAATGGAGATTAATGGTTTAATAATTAACAAAATGATCAAATTCGGTTACCACAATTGATAAATCAAAAATGGACAAATTTGGAGCTGCATCATGGTGCAATGATTAGTAAAGTGCTTTTACTAGTCATTATGACTGTACAATGAAATTGTTCCTTATCTTTCTTTTTTCTTTTAGTTGATTGCCTACGTACACACATATACAGAGTTGCAGTTGAGATCTTAGAGTCACTGTAAACTCCATGATCCTTTCATTAGCTGTTTAGTATGTGCTTCACAAGGGTTACATACTGTTTTTGAATTCAGAGTTGTTTTTATAGACTGGTTACCATTCAAGGCTATAGGACCCAGTCTACCCTGCTATTTACTCATAGCTGGGAGGAGAAGAAATGGATTTATACCTTTCCCAAGGTTATTTTCACATAAGGGAATGTAATGAACTTGGCTGGAATTTGAACACAGCTTTCCAATTCCTCAATCGAAGCTGCTATTCACTACTCCACCATACCTCAATAATTATGGCCTTGTGTCTACCATCCATTTTTTTAGGACAGTGTGCATTACTAGGTAAGAAGCTCGTAACCCATTATAGCCAAGATCCTATAATTAAAACCAGATAATTTTTTTTTTTTTAGAAACCAATAACACTGGATTTTTAAAAATTTATAATTAATAATTTTTTTATTATTATGATTTTTATAATAATTACCAGATTTTACAGTGGGCATTGATGAGTTAGGCTAAGTTTAGTAAATAATGAAACTGATAAAATTGGCTGTCACAATTTCATTGATCATTTTTATTTACATGGTGCATTCAAAAGGTATCCGACATTTGAGCACATATAAAAAAAAAAACAAAAAAAAAAAACAAAAAAAAAACAAATTTGTACACTTCCCAAATTTCATTTAATCACCTTGATAGCTCACACACTTCTCCCAGTGGTTCTACCACTGCTGGTAATACTTCTGGAATCCCTTCTTTGCTGGAATGACATGGAGCTCTGTTGTCACTTTTCTCATAATTATCTCTCATGACTAAAATCGCTTCCATTTCAGTTTGGTTTTCAGATTACAGAAGAACCAAAAATCACATGGTGGCAAATTGGGAGAGTAGAGAGCCTGTCAAACAAGTGGTGTTTTGTTGTTGGCTTGGGAATCTTGGAACAATCAGGCAAATTTTGCTGAAACTCTCCACATGCACAAATCCTCCATTAAAATGGAATGCACCGATTCTGTGCTTACTCCCACTTTGTGAGTAATTTTACAGATTGTTATACGATGGTCTTCCATAGCTATTCACCAAACCTTCTCAATCGGCACCTTGTTTCAGCTTGTAGATGGAATGCCTGAGTGTACCTTGCTCTTCACTGAGGTGCAACCAGATTTGAAGCAGTTGTACCACTCCTTGATCCAAGTTTTGTCCATGGCATCATCATCAAAGCCTGCTAAATCTTCTAGATGGTTTGAACTTGAGTATCACCAAGCTTTTGGAAAAACTTGATGCAATATCTCTGATCAATGTGTTTGGTCATCTTGCATGAAAATGAAAATCCAACAAGTGTGCACCACATATCTGTACTCTAGGCATAACAGCTAGGAACTGATGTGGCCTACAGGTGCAAAAATTTTCACACATGCACAGGAAGGCTGGCGTCATCTTCCACCCAAAGAATTTTGACCATGCAGCATGAGTTTTAGTGGGGAGAAAATAAAGTTGGGTACTTTTTCAGTGCACCTTGCATTTTTATATATTTATTTCTTACAGCAAAATGTCCCTCCCAGACTTTAGAAAAGGAAGAAAATGAAATTAAAAATTGTTGGTGAAAAGTTTTCCAGTGCTATTTTTTGCACAATGCTAGGGAAATTTTTGAAATGTTACTAAAGTTTATCCATACATTGATTGCTTATGCAAACAGTCAACTATAATACATAGACTTAAGAAAAATTTAAAAGCTCAGAAAATGAGTTTCACATGAATCTTGCTCAGAAGTTAAACATTTTATGTTTAAATAGCAAAAAAATAAAAAATGGATTTCTTATGAGAATACTAAAAAAAAAAAAAATGTCTAGATTCAAGTGAAGTTTTAATATCTCAAAATAAATGAAATTAGCTGAGGAAAAAATCCTGTATTTTATAGAATTCAAACATATTTATTTTTTAAAATATGTGTTTTGGTATAAAATCTAGCCAATTTTATCCAGTTTCCTTTTGTTCATATTTGTATCACTTTAGTTATTAGCACAATGTGGGATACTTAACAAATAAATAGCCTTGGAATAGGTAAGAACCCATTTCTTCTTTTCCTAAAAATAGTAGAGCTGACTTAGCTCACTTGCCTTGAGGTGGCACCCAATCTAAGAGAAGTAAAACTGAATCCAAAACCAGCCTGAAGAGAGATATGCCTTAGACACACCACTACTGCTATGGTTGCAGTACATGTGGTGCTTCAATCATAATGGTTTATGGGACTTGTGATGTGACATGATGTAGGATGTATCAGTACTCAAATATGTCATGTATTGGTACTCAAATATATTATGAAGAAGCAAATGAAGGTGGGGGAGTACTGAAATACAGATTAAGTCAAAAGTAGCAACTGATTTCTGTTTTTATGGTTGTCAGTTTGACTATAATCATTGATTCAGGGGGAAATAATACAGAATTGTACCAAGCTGTTTTATTTGGAATATTCAAAGTGTTTTCCCTCATGATCAATGCACAGTTACAGGAGAACCTGCACAGTGTTACATACACACAGTAATTGTTTAGATGAATTCTGTGCAATGGTGCCTAGACTCTTTGAATTTAAGTGCAGTACTAGACTGGAGACAAGATCTCACCAATTTACAATTGAGCTAGCTAGCTGTAATTATAAATTCTATGCTAACAGTTTCTTTTCTCGCACTTCTTACTTGTGGAACTCATTTTTATGCCATGCTTTCCAGCCAAATTTAATCTGAAAAAAATTAAATGCAATGTCAATCTATCTGCTGTCCTCCTGATTACTCTTCCTCTGTTCTTGGTCATTAGTAATGTTCCTGTCTAACTTCCACATCCAGTAACCCATTGTGTCTCAGTGGCTTTATTGCCTTGCTTGGTGTGAATTCATAAACACATGCACACACATTGGGTTTATCAATTTCTCCAAATTTTGCTGTGATTTGAGCCTTTAATTTCTAAATGGTACACGGCTTTTCACGATAAACAAGGTCTTTCATGAGACACCAAAGAAAGAGATCTAGTGGTGTGATGTCTGAGGAGTGAGCCATCCACTAAATTGGATCAGAACATCCAGTCTGCTTTCTGGAAAAGTTTTCACCAAGCTATTGACAACATAATATGATAGTGCTCCATCTTAAAATGTCTTCCAAGAATCTGAGTGCTACTTTTGACTTACCTTGCATATTTGGTCATCTATGATCATAAATTTCCATTGTCCACAACCAATCAATTTTTAAAAGTGAAGAATTAGGACCATTTCAATTTTTATGGTTCGTCAACCCTTCATAGGTTATTTAAAGCCAAAACATTTCAGACTGAGTGAAGGGAAATGAATAACAATATTTTGGAAATAACAATGATCTTTCCATATACACATCCTACTATTTAACCCATAGCTGCGAGGAGAAAAGATAGTGAAGAATTAGGAATATTCACTATGGAGAAAATTAAAAAAAAAAAAAAAAAAAAAAAAAAAAATGAACACTCAATTTTTCAAACTCACTTGAATGAATTCCTTTTTCATGTTATGTACTTTGTTCTTTTCATTGTGAAGAATTTCAATAAAATGATCAGTCATATCAGTAGATTGGATGTTCTGGAAACCTGCCTCTTTCAATTCCTTGAAGGTAAAAATTATAGCTATGTTTGTAACGACAATCAACATATTAAATTCTCACAGAAATTATTGCAATAATATAAAAATATTTACTCTTCTGTATCAAATAGAAATGCTCTCACGAATAAATCGTTTCCTTCAGCCCCACCCCTAAGCAGAGTGTTTATTTATTATGGTTTAAACATGCGACATGATCCTTGCTCAAGCTTTCCACAGATTAGCCAATGATCACCACATGTTGCATTATGATTCTTGATCTTGTCTATGTTCGTCGAAAGCCGGGAAAGGGCATGATGCATGCTCAGAAAGTTAACATGATGAAAGAAATGCCATGTCAAGATATGAGACCACAAACTCTGTTTCCCATATTAGATAGAGGAATTAGCTTGTCTGGGTGGATAGGTAGGTGATACTTAGGACAACTTCTGCTATGTCAATTCTTCCCTCTATCAACCCCTTGCCCATCACTTCATCCCAACATGGTAGCTGGCAAAGCAAAATGGAAACCACATTCGTCTCCTACCAAGGGGCGGACCAGAACAATCCCAATCATGACTGTTAATATAGACCATTACCTGGATATAGCCTATTTCCGGTTGTGTTGTCACTTGATCTCTGAAAATCCTTTTACCTCCCATTCTCCTTCAGTTAAAGTGGATGCCAAACTTCAAAGTAACGATCCACTAGTCTATCAAACAGAAACACTTCAGATCAAGATAAAAATACCTCTTCCTTTTTGATATGGGTGTCCATAGTATCACATTATAACCATTTTCTTTTATTCTTTTAAATAGACTTCAAAAGGAACCGTCTGCTGGCCTATCAAACAGAAACACTTGAGATTGAGATAAAACCGCCTCTTCTTCCATGTGGGTTGTCCAGAGTATCATAATGGCACAATTTTTATTTTTCAAATAATTTTTCTCTAAAGCATGATTATTTTGTTCCATGTTTATTAAAATTTTAGAAAAAAGGCTCAGCTGAATGTTTATTCGAACCAGTACACTTATGTTATAAGGTGAAAAATTGCTACCAGCCTGACTATTCCAGGCGGCACTTGAAGTTGGTACAGAAAAGCAAGTCTAAAGTGAGAAAAAGAAAAAAGTAGCAATTATCAAAGGATAAAATTCCTCTTTATTAAACTGCATCATACATTTTTCTTTTGACAGATCCAGGTTTTAAAAAGTAAAAAAAAAAAAAAAGCTGGCAATTTTATAGCTGCGATGTTATGCAGTATCAAATGAAAGCACAAGATAATATCACATGATTGGATAGAAAATTGAAGTAATCACTATAATTAAGAATAAATCCCGTTTCATCATTTTAAATCATTTTTATGCTGACAAGGACTTTGTTTCTTATGAAAGACATTTGCATTTTCAGACTGATTAGTAGGGTTAAATGTTGTGTGCATATGTGTGGAATGAGAGGGTAGTACACTAAGTTCAAATTCCAGGTAAGGTCACTGTGTTCACTTTTGGCAAAGGGTATAAATCTACCTCTTGTAGACTAGGCTCTCTAGATTTAGTTGGCAACCAGCCTAGGAGAAGGAAAATTTTGAATTCAGAACCAGTTGTGTATGGAGCTAGCAACTATCTACAATGGAAACCAGAGCAGTAACATTTAGCATAGAAGTATAGTCCTTTACTCGACACGGAGTCTACAGGTAATTGATGAGTAAAATTTGTAATCATCTAAAGTGTCATGGATGATACGCTCATTGGTGAATGGTTCGAAATCAGAGAGGTCCACAGCGGCGTGCTATGTCAGTCTTGTGTTTGTTCAAACCACTGCACTAAGCCTAGGGAGTTAATTATTCTCTGTCACAGCTCAAAATAGGGGAAGGGGGCAGTTCCTTTCTTTGAGATGACATGTGAGGTGAATTTGTCTTTTGAAGTTACCGTCTAGCCTTTGCCTAAAGTGGCAGGATCTATAAAGCAGGATGTAGTTTGAATTCAATGTTCATCCTTGTTTGCCAACCAAGTCTATAGTGCCCAATTTATCTTGTTATTTATCCATAGCTGGGGGGAAAAGATAGATTCATAACTTTTCCGAGGGTATTAGCATGTAAGGGAATGCAATGAACTTGACAGGAATTTGACTCGGCTCTCCGATTCCTCAATCACCAGCATGACTCCACAGAGTAAAATCAAAAGTGTTAAAACAAATCCTGGCTTTTAAAATATAGCACAAACATAATACTAGCATATTTTAGAATAGAATGTTAATAAAATAAAAAATGATCATGTCTAAAATTATGAAAAATACATTGAGACTTCTAAAAATGACTTTGTAGGGATGAAAATTCTGGTTACTCCCTTTCGTTGAGACAAAGTCATGAGTCACATGATAGCCAGTGAGTGAAATAAGTTCATATAGTGACAAACACCAGTTGCTATTTATCATGCCTGGAAGCAAGACATGTCTGCCCTCGCCAGTTGCATTGTCGGCCTTCGTGAACATAGACATCACAAGCCCACAATATCACTCACATGATATATGGTCTTTAGTCTCTTTCCAAAGGTGCTGCACAATAGGCCTTCCTCCCTAGAACAATAATATCAAGATGTCAAATCAACCATAGTGAGATTTGAACTCATTGTTGGAAAGCGAACCTTTTAACCACTTCCATGTGTCCATAATCAATAGAAATATGTAGTATTGTGATAGTAGTAAATTTGTGAAAAAAAGCAAAATATCATATGAACAATCTACTGCTATTACAATGTGAGATATTTATTATGTTGTTACATACAGTGAAGGATGAAATTATTTGTACACTCATCAATTTTGAATATTTTTATCCATTTCTCAGAATCTAATGCCCATATGATGCCAAGTTTTTTATATGTTAATAAGCACAAAAAAAAAAAAGAATATAAAACTCAATTTTCAGAACAATAGGTTAAATACAACAAATTTGACACACAAATTATACAAAATAGGAAATTACAAAATTATTTGTACTGTATGAAAAATAGAAAAATTGAACAATGTTCACAATATTAATAATCAATAGCATGACCTCTCATCTTTATAAATTGATGCAATCATTTCTAAAGTTTTTGATGAGATTTGAACAAATCTTTTTTGAGATTTTCTTTCATTCTTCCATGGTTACATATTCTAATTCCTGTAGATTTTTTCGTAACTGACAGATTATTCAAACTTTCAATTCTTGACATAGGATTCAAGTCAGGACTCATTGAAGGCCATGGCAGAACTGTAATCTTCTTTTTCTGAAGCCATGCAGTCACTGATTTAGACGTATGTTTGGGATCATTATCTTGCTAGAAAGTAAATTGCTGGCCTAAATAAAGATTTTGTGCTGATAGTTGTAGATTTTCATTCAGAATTTTGATATAGTCTGCAGATTTCATTATTCCTCTTATTGCAATTAATTGCCAAGTCTCCCTTGAGCTAAAAGTTTTCATTCATGCCCAGAAAAATTCTCTGTTGTCCCAAACTATTTAAACTTCTTTATAATAAAATAATTTCATTGTTGACGATAAATTTGATTTTTTTTCTGATGTTTTGCAAATGATCTCAGAAAATCATCTTTTGCGACATTTTTTTGTTTCTTTGTAACTCTGGACATTCTGTGAAACTGTTGTCTAATGTTATTGAAATTTTATTTCAGATTAGACGCCCATTTAATATGGAATGCCACGTAGACAAAAATGAGCATGTTCAACATCTTTTTTGCTTTTAATCAAAGTGTCAAAGCTGCTAGAGACATTTGTGCTGCGTACGAAGATGACTTTATTAGCAACAGAATGGCAGGGAAATAGTTCTCCTGTTTCAAGGAGTAGAAGTTCAAACTCACAGACTCTCATGTTCTGACTGTTCAGTTTGACAAGAACCAACTGCACATGCTGATTAAAGAAGAATGGTGCCAGAGTCTTGGGAATTGGCTTAGAATCTCTCCTGTTACTGTTGCTTGTCATCTTCACTCAATGGGAAAGGTTCAGAAATAAAGTGCATAGGTGCCACACACATTGCCTGAGAGAAATAAACTCCAGCATTCCTCTATTACTGCCAGCTTACTCACTCAACAGCGGGCTACTCATGGATACAAAGAAAGATTCCTTTACTGTATGATCACCAGGAGACAAAAAATGATGTCTTTACATGAAATCTTTTTAAATGTGATGTAATGGAATAACTTGTCACCCCCATGAGTGACTACACTATAGTTAGTAACTACCTATAAGCATCTGTAAGTCAACGGACTACAGAGACTAGCTGGGATCTTTTGAGTATGAGTCATACTTACATGAGAACTACCGACCTTCTAATAGTAGCACTCACTACTCGATTGACTTGCGACGACCTTGTGCATAACTGCTACTTTTACTGGTTTTACAATAAACCTTTACTTATTTTATCCACCGTTTTTTTTCAAGTATATATTCCTATTAGCACGGAATATAATAAAATGAAAGTAATCTTCTTTGGGAATGTTAAACCAAAATGTTATATTTTCTAATGTTATGGTTTAAAGTGCATCCTTAAGTTTTAGTTATTCTATAAGTGTGCCAAAAAGTAAAAAAAGGTTGAAAAACTCTGGTCTTGGCACATCAGATGCTAGAAATGTAAATTTAAAGTTTAGCACCCCTACATCCACAGAATTTCTTTCAATGTATAATTATAGCTAACATTTTGTTTATCACCTCCTCCCCCAGATTAAGTCGATTTGAAAGACGAAACACATTACACACAATTTTTCTATTTCATCTTTCAATTATCACCTGATAGCCCAACATATAATTTATATACCATATTTCTCCCGCATTTTTCATGTATTCCAAAAAAATGTATATATGATTGATTTGATTTGGTTTGGTTTGGTTTACAGCATAATCAACCTCAATGGGTTATTTAATGCTGATAAAATTTTTATTGTTGGTAATATTTTTTCCCAAAAAGTATTTCTGGTAATATTTTTTTCAAAAATGTATAACTGGCAATATTTTTTTTTTTTTCAAAAATGTATTGCCGGTAATAATTTTTTTACAAAAAAGTATTTCTTGTATTAAAACCTATTTTTACACTTTTATAGTGTTTTGAACACAGTACTGGGGTTAACTATTTGCCCATAGATGGGACCCTAACAGGCGCTACCACCCCAGGAAACACTAGCAATTAAGAAAACCTCCTGATCAGAGGCCTTTTAGATGTGGTTTATCGTCTTACTCAGGACGTGGATGTAGTTTATCATCATACCCAGGACGAGTAGTTTATCGTCTTACCCAGGATGATATGAAAGATTTCTTACATATTCTATAACATAGTTTCAAATATTTACTATGGAATTTCCACAATTATTACTATTACATATTTAACAATTTATTATTTAATGTTAACTTGAAATGTTTCCCATTCAGATTACAGGTAAATAAAAACAGCTGTATATTTATAAATAAAAGGTAAGGGAAAAAAGTAGGAATCACTTTACAAGAAATAAATCCTTACCTGGCCATATTTTTCCACAGGTAAGAAAATGTAACCTCGCTGCTTCGTGTAAGATTTGAACTGGTCACTATGACTACCAGCACTACAGCAGTAATCAGTGATCAGAAGACGGCCACCAGGTTTCAACCATTCCTACAAGAGATTAAAACAGCCATAAAAGCTATAGCATTAGAACCAACAATACATGCTTTATTACCTTAGACCTTTAAGAAAAAAAAAATCCTATAATGACATATCCTCTTGGCATCAGTTCAAAACTGATGCCTTCTTTTTTCTACACAAGGTGTGATCAAAAAGTATCAGGACTGCTGCTATGTTAATGGAGATAAAGTAAACAGAATGAAGCCCAAGTTATAATGGTCTCTCTTACTTCAGTTGTTTATAGCAATATTATAAAGTGAAGAAAACATGAGATGTTTTACATGGTACATTTTAAAGTGTTATTTATGTTTTTAAATTCAATTGGATAAATACAAATGCTGGAAGTCTTTTCAGCTATGTGCAATGACATAGTTTTTTTGTGTTTTTTTTTTCCTTTTATATGCATGGGAGAATGCAAGGTTGGAGATTATAATTATTTGTTATTTGTAAGGAGCAGTCTAATGTTGCTATAGTTCTTGTGTTTGTTAATGTGCTAATAGCATTTTGTTTGGATAAATGACACATAAGTCTGCGTGAATAAGTGGTTGTTGTGTAACCTATATAAGACACAAATTGTTTATTAAAACAAATATTTATTATTTATCTCCAAGTGAGACAGATCAATTCATAAACAATATTAGTCTTATATAGGGGGTTGGCAGATTCAGAAATATGATTTTGGATAATTAGATGAATGATTTTAAATTTTATATAATGGATGATAAATATTATATGTGTATTTTTTTTTCTTACAGGTTTAATATGTCTGTGTATTTTTTCTCTTTTTTAATCAATTTGCCCCAAACAAGGTGATAATTCCACTAAAATGCAAGGGGCTACTAGAAGTGAAAGAGAATGAAAAGACTTTAGAAGAAATAGGAAAGAAGGGATAAACCTCTACTCCTGTTCAAAAGAATGGGGAGGATTATGCCAGACAATAGGCAAACCTATCTTGTTTTTAATTTCATCCTTTTTGTAATTGTGTTGCATTTGATTTCTTTAGAATATGTTAATAGTATTGCTATTAATCTTATCTTGAGAGCTTGAGTTTATATTAAAATTATTATTGCATAAAGGAAGTCTAAATTGATAGTCAAAAATATTATTAGGGAAGCCATTGTTCATAAGTGTTTGTTTCTTGTTACTGAATTCCTTAAGAAAAAATAATTTAGATGGGGGAAGATTCACTGGATTTTATTGTTTATGGCGGCAAATTTAGATCTTTGAGGACATTCAGTTTTATAGTTAAGCAAGCAACAATTCTAAGAATATGATTTTTTTTTTTATATGGCATAGTAGTGAATTTGTGACCATCATAATCAATAAGTACAACTTGAAAAATAGCTTTTCTATTAATATTCAATTCAAAAGTAAACTTTAATAAAGAAATTTTTTCAAAATTTTCTTCAAGTTCTATAATATCATGTTATGGTGGAACACACCTATTCTATAGTTAATAGACTCTCCCACCTATAATAAGTAGGAGTAGTAAGAGTAACGAGTCAGTCGGTCAGTGAGTTGATGTTGGACGACAGTTAGTCGAATACGAAAGTATCAGCAACCACAAGATTTCTCTGCGTAATACTTATATCAAGTTCCTAACGTTTTGTATGTCAAACCTTTTTTAGGACCGATTTAGTACAAATAAAAGCCTCCACTGCGAAATCACTCCACAACATATCATTAACATTTTTTTAATAAAAATAACATCTATCTAGAAGACATAAATAGTGGGTGCATTTAATTTATTAAATATTTTGTTTTTGAGATGGGTGACATAAAAATTAGAGAATAAAGGCCCTAATGGGGGTGCCCATAGCAATACCATGTATGTAGATATTACATAGATGATCATATAATAGAACATGTGTTGTGCAAACTATTAAAAGTCTATTTTTAAGTTGTGAGGTTGATTATTTTAAAGTCTCATTCTCTCTCATATATATATATATATATATATATATATATATATATATATATATGAGGCATGTTTCATTAATAATGTAGAAAAGTTTTGGTGTCATTATTAAAGGAAGAGAGAAAATTGCCATGTTGATACATATTTTATTCCAATTACTTTCAACATAGCACAATGTCATCATTAGGGTATTATTTATTTTGAGACAAATATTGTAGTGTTCCTAATTTTCAAAGATAAAACTGCTGTGTTCATCTGAAAGTTAAGTTTTTTTTACTTGTAAAGAATGCTGAGTACTGTGATTGGCTAACGTGTTGTAGAAAACCAACATTTTTTTATAAATTTAAATCTCCTTTGAGAGATTGTATCTCCAACAGAAAAATATTTATGTTGGCCACACTATGATGATGTTGTCCCTGTGGCTGAGTTTTCATGTGAATGATGCATCCAACATTTCTAAACATTTAAAATAGCATACCTGTCCATGTCTGCAGTTCAGAAAAATTCCTGTTGAAAATACATCTATACTTTATAAAAATAATAATTCTAAACTAAAAATTTTTGAAGCTATCTATATTAAAAAATTGAAACTACACCTTAATAAAATTATGAACACTGCACAAATGTTTTAAAATGTTTATAGTAGATAGTACAAACCTCAATATTTTAAACTAATAGTTTTAATACTTATTTCTTAAAAAGCTCTCAACAACACCATAACTTAGTTACCTCCCCTGAAGTATTACTCAAGCCAATCACAGTACTTAACTCAGTGTTTTTCACTTCATAAGTAAAAAATTTTAACTTTCAGATGAACACAGCAATTTTGTCTCTGAAAATGATGAGTACTACGATATCTTGGAATAAATAACACCCTAATGATGACATTGTGGCTGGTCAAAAGTAATCAGAATAAAATAATATGTATCAACACGGTAATTTTCTTTCTTCCTTTAATAATGACACCAAAAAGCTTGTCGATGAATATGAAAGGATCCAACTAAAAATAAGCAGACAAAACTTTTCTAAATTATTCAATGAAACTTGTCTCAATGAAAATATGCTGCCAAAATACACACACACACATATATATATATATATATATATATATATATATATATATATATGTGTGTGTGTGTGATAGGATAAAGAACAAATACGAAATGTTTATCAATCTAACACATTTCACTTTTATTGAAGCGTCATCATCATACATATTAGATTGATAAACGTTTTCTATTTGTTCTTTATTCTATCATTCTGTTGTATTCTGATTCATATATATATATATATATATATATATATATATATATATATATATACATACATATATATATAAACATCCCTGCCTGCCTGACAGTGAATTAGCAGTTTTTTATAAAACTAATCTTGATAGTCTTCATTCAATGCTGCACATATGTAGCCTTGTGTCAGACTAGTCTAAGCTTAGTAAATACTTATAAAGCATAACAAATATTAATGTCTTCTATGTGCAGTCTGCCTTCAGGACATGTGTGACCATGTCTTCAAATGTCTCTTTCTGATTCAATTTATAAGCATCCTTTAGGTTCTGTTTTCCTTAACGGTTCCTCATTGCTTACATGTTCCAATCCATAGTGTTCTTAGATCCTTCTGTTCTGTGTTTCTGCCTCAAAGTCTCCTTTTCATCTGGTGGACTGATATTACATAGTAGTTGAGCTCTCTTTTCTTTGTGACTAATTAAATTTTCCTGTTTCTTCATACTTTGTTTAGCCTTTGGAAGGTATCTTTTGCTATTCCAGTGTTCCTTCAGATTTCAGTGTCACATTTCCCGTCATCATATATATAAAAAAAAGACCTTTATGATGAGTAGCTTATATAATTCATATGTTCTTCAGTAATAAACATGAGGCTTGAAGGTACTCAGTGGACTAAGCACACATAAGCATAATGCAGAATTAAAGTACCTTACAGGTATTTGCTAAAAAAAAAATACATCTGAATATTTGCTGTCATAGTGTCTTTTAGTAATGGTTGGATTTTGATTGCATACAGAATTCTTGTTTGATATTATTCCTTATATAAAAAAAAAAAAAAAAGAATCAATTTAAAAACAAGTCTACATACATAGAACTTCTTGAACAATGCCAATTTGTCCTTGATATGAATAATAGTATCTCGGCTGTAGATGACATCAAAAGAGCAGGGCTCAAAATGTCGTTTTGTTGCATCAGCTATTTCAAAGTGCACTTTCTGAAAATCAAATAAAAGAAAATTAGAATACACTTAGACAGTCATAGAATGTAAAAAAAAAAAACAAAAAAAAAACAGTTTTAGTGAAGGAATTAGTATGTTTTAACTAAAAAAATTCCTAATGATTTTTTCGACTGTTATACTCAGTGTTGGTGAAGTTTTCGGCTCTTGTTTTTGAAACATGAGAACTCTTATGTAGCGAAGGAATCATATTTTTTTAAAATAATTATAATATATATATATATATATATATAAATTTTTTTGGGAATTTGATTTGCGAGCTGGATGTGATGCTTCGAGCTCTGCACACGGAGTGACTTTTTTTAGCATGTTTTGGTATAGAGTGAATCGGAATGCAACCTTTTTTGAAGCTAATTGTCTTTTCTTTTCACTGCCAGTACTTGACATTTTGTGCATTTATAATGCTGCCCAGTGAATAGTGATGCTTACATTAAGAAGTATCTGTCATTTAGCTGAGTAATTTCATTTTTGATTTAGAAGACAGAGAGGATGTCAAAAACAAAAATGGCAGAAAGATGATGAAAAACTGAAAATTAAGAAGAAACAAAATAGAAAAAAAATGTAATACTGCATGTGTGAAGTAGAAGTGGATAATTTATGGTTAAGGTTTAGGAAAAGAAAAAAAAATAATCAATCTCCTAACTAATAAACATTTGCACAGTTTGTTGGAAATATATCATACTTCTGAAATGATATGGTCAGTTGATAGTTACAAGTCCCTGGTGATTGGCCTATCGCAAAATGAGGAAAGATGTGTTGGGTATGAGTGCCTTTTCATTCACACATGAATTAAGAAATCAGCAATTTGCAAACTAGTTTCTCTCCAACAAATTTTTCAGTCACAATCTTTGCCTTTTATTGAAATTGCTAGATAGTAACAAGCAAAAGGATTGGAAGGCTCTCAAACTCACTTTACTCTCCCCTTCACTGACAAGTAGTCAGTAAAACTTCCATACAAAGGGCTATAGATGCATTCAATACAGACAGTGTTGTGCTATTTAACACTATGAATAAAAACCTTGTTCTTGTGAAAATAAGGCTAACTTGATTTTCAGCAAGAAGCAGGGACCGTCCAACTTTGGTATATTGGTCTCAGAAAAGCCGTGGAAACTAACATTGTGACACTAACTAGACACACTATGAAATAATGACAGTGGTTGCAAACTACCTTAATATAATTTTGTGACAATATCAGAAAGCACACAAACACAGAGTTCATGAGAAAGAAAAGAAAATTTTCAGGCCTAACACTAAAAGGCATCAGACTACTTTATCTGGAGTTTGAAGCTGGTTTGTTGATTCCATTTCCAATGTTGCTAACCATGAAGCTAATTCTAGACCACTTCTTTTACAATTCTATATGATCATATTGCTACCACATCTGACCGAGTGTTTCTGCTATATATTTAGAGATTCTTGATAAAATCCAAAGTAGAATCTGCAATGTTATTGGCAACTCAACCATTCATTTTCCCATTGCCATAACGGAGCTTCCCTGTGCCTAGCAGGATTCATTATTAGTAGTCACAGTCTTAATATAAGATATGCAGATGACAAAGGGCTGATAGCAGACACAAAAAAGAAACTATCTGTACCTTTTCTTAATAAATATTTTCATGGTAATTGTTCTGATGAGCTTTTCTCTGTGGTACCTAGACTTGAGTGCAGTACTAGATTAGTGGCAAGGTCTCATCATTTTACAATTGAAATGGTTAAATGTAACTAAGTTCTATGCTGTTTCTTTTCTTGCACTTCTCACTTGTAAAACTCTTCTGGCTTCTTGCTTTCCAGTCAGATTTGATCCTCAAAAATTTAAATGCAATGTCAATTGTTATCTTCTTAATTTCTGTTCTCTTATTGTTCTCTCTCTTTAATAATGTCTTTTCATCATATTATCCCGCACTCAGTAACCCCTTACATTTTAGCAGCTTTATTGCCTTACTTGAGGCAAGATGATTAAGAAAGAAAAAAAAAAAAAAATTTTTTTTTTTTTTTTTTAATTAAATTTTCACCCAATAGAAAGCCCAAGAGCCACTCAAAACAGTTGACCCTATCCTGGACTTGAAGAGGTTAAGATTGTAGGTACTGGTGAAGTATTCTCTTGGAAATCTGTTCCATAAAGTAGTGCTTCTCAAGAAGAAAATGCCTTTTTACCAATGGAATACAGAGGGAATGAGGATGATTTGACACTGTGTACATGGCATGGTATGTCCTAGCTATAAAGATCAAACCATTTGCTATGGAAGTAGCAATCGATTAGTGATAGGCTTCAGACATTTTGTCTGTGCAAAATGGAATGTAGGGTTGAAAATAATTCATTGTTGATAAGGTTGTGTAAACATTTGAAATTGTGAGTGATATCTGTGAGCTTCATATAAAACAGTTTACCATTTGTGAGAATGGAAGCGTTCTCTGAAAATTTTGTCTAGGCAAAAAAAACAAAAAAAAAAAACAGACAGAATATGTCTGACATAAAAAAATATACCTGAGTAAGGTTAACTTCTTGACAGCGTTGGTGTGCAATTAAAATCATATTGGTAGAGAGATCAATTCCAACAACTTCAGCACCATAGATCTGTAAAAACATTAAAAGATAAAGCAATAAGTTTTTAATAAGGAGTGACATTCCCAGCACTATTTATCCTGCTTTGATATTTTCAGGCACAGAAAAACCAAGAAAATCATGTCAGGCTTCTTAAAACAGAACTTGCGTCCTCCAACACTTCAGTGTATTGTCTATTGTTGGTATCAATCAGTACAGGAATCATTGCTAAAACATCCCCCTTCCCAAATTTATAGACAAATTCTACAGATGCATACTGGGATTTGTTTCTAACCAATAAAAATGGAGCACTTCTCAGTCTCATCCATCATATTTTTGTTCTTGAAGTAAGAATGCTACAATGATTTGAGCATGCAAACACCATTCATACTTTGTAAACTTTTTGCTTTTTACTGTTGCTTTGTCTAGTTTTTTACTATATATATATATATATATATATATATATATATATATATATATATATATATATTTGTTTGCTTATCATTTCACCCTGTTTTATTTTCTTCATTTTGTTATTGTTTACTGGAAACTTTGTCAGTTGTATTTGTTGAGCATTTTTGCCATTTAAACTTAACCATCACCAATTACACCACAACAATAACCTCTTTAATTATTAACAAAAGTTTTCATTATATATATATTTTATATTCTTTATATATAATTTGCTACCTGTCTCTGTAATGAAGGCAAGATAATCAAATTTCAAATTTTAATTGTTTATATAATTAAAATACTATATTTATTAAAAAACATATTTAGTTTAAATATAGAAGCAGCCATAAAATGACTTCAAAGGCTACATATTTTAGTTATAGTCTGATCCTGTTATCCAGGGTTTGTTGCCAGACAGAGAGGTAAATTAGCTGTCCATTTCAAATTCATTGACATTTTGCATGTATGTACACTTACATGTGTACAAGTATATCTTAATTCAATGACAGACATAAAAATATTTCTACAAAATTTACAAAAAAAACAAAACCTTTAAAAAGTAATTCTATTTATTAAAAAAGTTCAATAAAATCTTTTTTTTTTTTTCTTTTTTTTTTACGGTTTGATAAGTTAATTTTCTTTATGATTTTATTGCAAGGTAGGGGTTGTCCTGACTGGATGAGAAGGGTATGTCTTATTTCAAACTCAGTGAAATTAAGTATGTATGTGTGCATGTGTTTGTGTATATATTAAATAAAATAAGCACATATAAGTCACTGATACACAACACAGATATTGCATACATATATGAAAAATCATGCAGAGTGTGTGACTGACACAGGATTAACACTTCTTTCATATATTTTGAAGTATATATCTGGCTTGTTTAACAAAGTTTACATGATGTGTCACAAAAATAATTCTTTTACAAAGTGTTTAACTAATGCCAAATGTTTAGAAATTTCTGGGTTAAACAATGAATATAAAAAAAAAAAAGATCATTCGACCGTAGTCAAGATCATTGAGCCAATGTGAACGATCCCTTCTTTAGCTGTATAGTATATGCTCTGCCAAGGCTACATACAGTTTTGTATCCATAGTTACTTTCTCCTAGACCAGTTGCCACCCAAGGTTACAGAACTCAATCTGTCCTGCTATTTACCTATAGCTGGGAGAAGAAGAAAATGATTCATACATTTCCCAAGGGTATTAGCACATAAATAATGGATCCAACTGGAATTTGAACTCATCTCTCCGATTCCTCAATCCAAGCTGCTATCCATTACTCCACCATAGGCATGGTGGAGTAATGGATCTATTATATTCACTTACATGCTAATACCCTGAATGGATAAAAAAAAAGAGATGAGAGGGTGGGCTGAAAGGGTCATAGGCTCGCCTTAAAAGAGTGATGCTGGAAATTTTGTATCCATTAATTTCAACTCTTCTTATTAATAACTGCATTGTTTCTTTCCAGGTAAACTAACATCTGGCTGTTCAAAGAACACTTTCCATCCAGTTGGTTAAAAAAAAAAAAAAAAAAAAATCAACAGCAGATATGATGTCATCATCACTGCAACACTGGTTCCTAGCCAAGTAATAATCAAATCAGGAGAATAGAGAGGGTGATCAACCAGTTCAAAGCCACAGTCATGCAAAATGGCTAAAGAACCTAAGGACTTGTGTGCTGGAGCATTGGCCTGATGAATAAAACCATTTTCATCAGTTTTTCTGGACATTTGGTTTTGATAGCCTTTTCTAACTGCCTCCATTGATGGTGTGACCCTTTTGAAGATAGTCAATAAACACAATGCTTTTTACATCCCAAAAAAGTGAGGGCATCACCTTCCTTGAAGATGAAACAACCTTGGCTTTCTTTGGAGAACGTAAGGAGGGATGTTTCCACTGCATGGATTGTCTCTTTGTCGATGACTCAAAGTGATGAACTCAACACTTATCCTGGGTTAGAAAACATTCAAGGAAACAAACTAGATCTGTCTCAAACAATGTTAGATATGTTCAAGCTTGGTGCACTTTTGATCCAGTTTCAGAAGACATGGCACCCTCCTTTGTCATGCCACGTTCATTGTACAGAATGATCTCAACTTGCCCACAAGATATACTAATAGCATTGGCTATTTGATTTACAGTCAATCGCCTGTCATCTATCAACATGTGGTGAACATGATCAATGTTTTCTCGGTGGTAGCAGTTACATGACATCCAGACCTTGGGTCATCTTAAAGCCGGAGCATCATGTTACAACCATATCAATATGAATATCCTTCATTGGGAGGGGATAAAACCTTTTTTGCAGGTTCTTGATAACACCTTTTTTATGCACTGTATCTTTTCAGGATTTGGGCAATCATGGCGCTCCATAATTTCCTGCTAATAAATTCTTTTTGCTATTTCTCCTAAACCCTGCCCCACCATCCATTTAATCAAACTCATTAAATAGATTATGCATTATTTTCCTCTGTCCCTCCTGCCTTCAATCTGTCCTGTGAGTACCAGATTTTCCAAGCCTTCTTTCCTCGTTATATGCCCTACTCTAAATTTCTAATTTTAACTGTCTCTTCCTGATGTTAAGTATAAGTTTCCTTTTTATTTCTATTTTCTCTGAAACTTTGCTGTTGCTCACATATTTGATCCATGGTATCTTCAGCATCTTTCTGTAGAACGACATTTTTGTTGCTTCAAGTCTCTCCTTCATCTTTGAGGAGATTGTCCAGCATTCACTGCCATATAGGAAGACTGATATCACATAACAGTTCAGTATTCTTTTCTTTGTTTCTAATGAAATTTTTCTGTTTTTTAATAATCTAAGTTTTTGAAAGGTTTCAATATGCCTTTGGATTTCACTGTTGCACTTTCTGTGATTGTCAAAACACTTCCCAAATATTTGAATTTTTATACTGATTTGAATTTAGCTATCTCAAATTTTTAATTTGCATGTTAGGCTCTCCCTTTTGCTAACAACCATGCATTCTGTCTTATAATTGATGTTTAATCCTGTCTTCTCTCTTTCCTTCACTACCTTCTGCAGGAGTTCTTGTAGTTTCCTTTCTGTGTCTGATATCAAAATGTGCCATCTGCTTATCTTATGTTGTTAAGATTGTGGCTGCCAATAATACATCTTGGTAGTATTTCTATATCTTTGAGGATTGCCTCACTGTATAAGTTGAATAAGTCTGGTAAGAAGATCCATCCTTGTCTTATGCCCACATAACACATTTTCTATTTGTATGCAGGCAGTTTATTGCCAGCAAAAATTCTTGATTATTCTAATATTCTATTATTCTCAAATAGATCGACATTAAGCAGTTCTAACAGGTCTTTGTGATGTACTTTATCGAACACCTTTGAATAGTCTATACAACACGGATACACATCCTTCTGAATTTGTATTGCTCTTTGATATTCTGAACATAAAAGCCACATTCCTTGCTTCTATGTTGTTAACAAACCTGCGCTGTTCTCATCCTATTTCCAAACTGATTCTGCTATGTGCTCTATTCATCAGAATTCGAATGATAAGTTATGTTATATGGCTCATTAGACTGGTGTCCAGTGGAGTTCATTTTCATTTGTATCGTGTTTCTTAGGCGGTACTATAAAAACAGATGTATTCGGTCTTTCGTTATATCACCACTGACATAGATTTCATTTATTATTCATGTAATCTTACTTATGCCAAAATCATCTAAGGCTGTCAGTATCTCTATTTCGATTCTGTCTGGCCCTGTCACTTTGTTTCTATTCAATTTGGTTAGTGCTGATTCAACTTCAGATTTTAATATTTCCAGTCCCTTGATATTTTTGTGTATTGCCAGTTGTTGTCTTTTATCATGGAAGAGTTCTTGGATATATTCATTCCATCTCTGAACTAATTTTTCTTTCTCTAATATCAGCATTCTGTCATTGGATTTCATGCATCCTGTTGATGAGCATGTCTTTTGTCCTGTTAGTTCTCTTATTTTTTTATGTGCACTTGCATTATCTGTAATACTCATTCTTTCTATTTCTTCATATTATTCATTGATCCATTTCTCTTTAGCTTGCCTGCATTTATTACTGATTTCTTTGTGTAGTGTCCTATATTCTGTTCCATGTCCTGGCATTGTTTTTTGTCTCCTTTTCATCATGTTGATAATTTCATCTGTCATCCATTCATTTTTTCTTTTTTATTTGTAAATTTTCATTTAGGATGATCTCGATTACTGATCTCACTAAAGCTTCTTTTTATGTGTCCCACTTGGATTTTAACAATGCCAAATTTTGACCATTCTCAAGAGAAGTTGCTACTAGTTACTTTCAAAGTCTTCTTTGAAGAGTCAGATGTCAGTTTACCCGGAAAGGAACAATGTATTTATTAATAAGAAGAGTTGAAATTAATGCATGTAAGCATCATTCAGCCTAAGAATTTTTCAGCTGAACCTCATGCACCAGCAATTTCAAAATGAAATGGTAACATTCACAACCAAATTGATATTGATAGTATATATGAGCTTCTAGGTAATAAAAAAAAATTGACAGCTTCCAGTAAAATTTGAAAACCTCCAAGTCCCAATGGTCGAAGTGAACAAGAGAGTTAGTAACACTATAAGAAAGTGTAAATTACTTTCTGATTAACCTTACCTGGGCCATATGAAAGGCACTACCACCAATTCCGCAGCCAACATCCAGAACTTTTTCACCTGGTTTAATGTTCAGCTTGGCTACAAATTTCTGCAAATTCAAATAAATGATTCACTTTACAATATTATGCAGGGTAAACAAAATAAGTAAAAAAAAGTTAGAAACCATCTTTATTTATATTTAATACTACAGAACCAATGGTTACCTTGTTGGTAGGACTTAAAATATACTGACTGCATCCCTTATTCCTTGCAGAGGTGTAAGACACCCCTAAAAAATGGTGGGGCAAAATGAACTACCTTCCAGACACAAGCATAATGTTGACCTAGAGACCCAAGTAGAGTAAAAACAGATTTTGTAAAAATAAAAATGTAAAATCAACCAACCCAAACTAAAGAACTATGGAGTTAGGTTAGATACAAATACTAAGTCTATGGTCTCTGGATAAACTACTATTTATTTCGACTTCATAGATAAGAATGGGGAGCTTTCTTTTAACCATTTTTGTGGTAGTGGTGGGGAATGAGGGGGGGTCATATTTACCATCAAATTCAGTAATCAATATTTCAAAAATAAATAAAGATTGCTATTGATTTTGTTAACTTTTTAATATTTATTACAGTTATTAGAAAAAAAAAAGTTTGATAATGTATGGAAGATAAACAAAATTAATCCCACACTTAGTTTGTCAATCAAGCTGATTACCTCTAAGTAAGCATATATTTTTAGGGACAATTATAATTGATGTCAGTGATTCCCAAAGTGTATATCATGAGAGGAAGTGACAACTAACAC